TTTTTCGAGAAAAATAATTTTATATAGTTTAAAATTCTTGGTTGCTATAGCTACGACCTCTGGGGGGCAAAAAAGGCTATGCACCGTGGAGCCCCAAAGGCAGGACCCTGCCAAGAAGACCAAAGCTTCAAGTGACTCCACCACCTCTGAAGCTCCTAAGTCAAAATCGGGGCTAGCCTCACGAACTGATGAGCTCGAGGCTGAGGCCCTAGCCCTTCTCCCTCTAGAGACCCAAACTGCAACGACCACATTCCACAAGTACTGGATGGAGAAGTGGCAATCATACATCGAGAAGAACGATGTCGTCGACATCTTTTCCACGATGGTGGCCCAGGCGGGGCGATCGTTCGACATGGCCATAAAGGCTGAAGCCTTATTTAAAAACCTTAAAAGTAAAAATCATGGGTTCACCAACAAGGCTTCCCAGGCCGATGAGATTGCCATTAGGGCTAAGGCGGAGGTGGATGCCTTAAAAAAGAAGCAAATCAAGGAGTCAATGAAGCTCGCCTTTGCCCTAACAGAGATTGAATCTTTGAAGAAGGAGGTTCACTTGTCTTAGAGCGAGGTGACCTTTCTTACGAAGTGAGTAGAGACTTCTGACGTCCACCAGAAGTTGGGAAGCTGAGGCTTTGGAGAAGGTCAATAAGGAAAAAGTTGCTCTCAAAGAGGAGGTAGGAAAGCTGACCTCCCAAGTGGCCGGCCTGATTGATGAAGTGGAGCCGAACTTGCTAACAAGGTTGCCGAGAATAACTTTCTAGCTAACTTCCACTTGACCGAGGCATATAAAAGTTTCAGGAAGTACTGGAGGAGGTATACTTATACTGACATTATCGAATGGCTAGAGGTGAACATTTAGGGCGTCGACATTTTCGAATTGAGGGCTGCGTTTCTTGAGGATGAGGTAGAGATGTCTGAACTTCAAACTCCAGCAGAAGTGGCCCAAGTAATCGAACTTGATGGAGATGCTGCTGAAGAACTGGCCTTGACGCCATAGTACCTTTTGTGGTTCCTCCTCTCCCACCTGCCTAGAGCAAATCTCCATCCTTGTATTTTTTGCATTTTTATCTAAGTGTAATGGCTTCAGTCCTCCAATTGTAAATATTCCTTATGAACGAATTGCTTTTATTCAATACTTGTGCATTCTTACCTATTCAATTGTTACATCCGCCTTATGCTGACTTGCCAATTACGACCTTATCACTTTACTTGTATTCTAATCAATGTCATCAGCTTAAACTTAAAGCAACGTCAATTCAATAATAACATTAGACGTGTAACATCTTTAAAAGCTTGACAATGTAGGGAACATTTAATAAGGTCGGATGTTATGCAATATGAGCTTTAAAAACATGATTGAACTTGCAAAACTTTACACAAGTGTTAGTAGGTCATATACTTCAACAAAGTTTAGGACTCAACCATATTAGTTTTCAAAAGTAAATTTGACTGAAGTCCTCTTAACAGCTTGAGAACTTGTTTAACATGTGAGATCTATCATTTGTAAGATTCAAGTTACATCAGGCCCTTGTACATAGTACTCCAATAATGATTTACATATGAAAATTATTCAAGTGTTTAAGGGTCAAGTACCTCTACAAGTTTTAAACGCGTGCAAATCGATGTTTGTGAATTGAGATTCTTTAACACTTCAAGCTTCGATCTGTTCGTTCATTTGTGCCGAGGTTCTTTTAACAACGTTTAGTTGATAAAGGCACGCATTTTGTTCCATGAATGCAGACGTGGTTCATTTCATCCTCTTGAGATTTTAGCCTTCTCGAGGGGAGTTTTTATTAAATTCTAAACTTATATGTACAAGATGTCTTACATCATTGGTAATACTTGCGTAAGTGCTCCACATTCCAAGGATAGGACCCAGACAGAACTTCTACACTGATGCGGTAAGGGCCCTTCCAGTTGGGGCCAAGGGTTCCTGACCTATGCTCTTTTGAATGAGGGAACACCCTTCGCAATACCAGTTCGTTCAAATGAAATGACTTCTTCTTTACCTTCGAATTGTAAAATCTAGTCATTTTCCTCTGAAACATGGTCAGTTTAACCTTAAAATCATCCATCCTCTCTTTGAAAAGGTCTAGTCCACACCTTCTCATCTCATCATTATTTATCTAATTGAAGTGTATTCGCCTGGGAGATGGAAGACACACTTCAACAGGATTTATAGCCTTAGCCCCATAGGCCATTGAGAATGGGGTTTTCCCATTGGCAGTTCGACTTGTTATCTTGATTGCCCAAAGTGCTTGTGGCAATTCATCAACCCATGCTCCTTTGGAAGCATCCAGCTTTCTATTCAAGGTGTATTTAATCATTTTGTTAACAGCCTCGACCTGTAGTGAGTGTTCTGCACTCATGATATTTATGCCACTTAAATTTTTATTTTGTTATCCTTGAGAGAGTTCTAGGGCGTTTTAATGTGTGTTTTGATGTTGTGATATAGGGCGATGGAATTGAAGGAAATAAGCAAAAGTTGGCAAATTAGAGAAACGTGCTAAATTGTAAGAGATCCAAAGTTTGGGGGATTGACGTCCAAATACTCAAAAGTTGTGTCAGACCCCAAAATGAAGATTCGAGAGTGCTTGGAGGCAATTGGATGTAGAAAGAAGTCAAATGGGTGAAATATAGCCTAGACATTATC